CTCTCTGCTCCCCTGCTGCCCTCCCAGAACCTCCAGGTGTCCTGCCTCAACACTGAACAGAACCAGCATCTCCAGGCCTCCCTGAGCCGCTTGAACCGGGTGGCACAGGTAATGCCAGCTGCAGTCTTGCTCTGTGCCCCTGCGGGACATCCCTGGGATCCTCACCAGGGTCTCTTTTCCCCTCAGTATGCCCAGGCCCGGCAGGTGAGGCTCCTGGTGGACGCGGAGTACACCTTCATCAACCCCGCGCTCTCTCTGCTGGTCGCTGCCCTGGCTGTGCGCTGGAATAGCCCCCGGGAAGGTGGGCCCTGGGTGTGGAACACGTACCAGGCCTATCTGAAGGTGGGTGATGCCCTCTGGAGGCCCGTGGGTGGGGGCCCAGCACCTGCCCCACCTCCACCCACCACGTGCCCTGTAGGATACACACGAACGGCTGCGGCGTGATGCTGAGGGGGCACACAGGGCAGGCCTGGCCTTTGGAGTGAAGTTGGTCCGAGGTGCCTATCTGGAAAAGGAGAGAAAAGTGTCCCAGCTCCAGGGGACAGAAGATCCCACTCAGCCTGACTATGAGGCCACCAGTCAGAGGTAGGGCTGAGCCAGGCAGTCTTGGGAGCAGTAATAATACATGACCTTGAATTCATCAGAGTTCACTGCCAGCCAGCATCCTGTATCTGTCTACGCGTGACTTCCCCTCCCTGGTCCAGGACACTGCTCACCTGAATGGTCGCCTCCTCCTTGGGCTCCCTGCTCCTCCCTTTGTCCCCAACCATCACCCCAGGCTCTTCCATGTGCCCTAGTTCATACAGCCAGTTCCCTGTGGGTTGTTGCCAATCATGTTCTGTGGACGGTGGTGCGGGGACCACCCTTGGGTGCTGGCATCCCGTGCTGGCAGCGTTCCCCCTGGTTGTGAGTCTGCCATTGTGTCAGAGACTGTGCACACACACCCTCACAGCAGCCCTGTCAGTGAACTCACATGGCCACAAAAGGAGGAAATGGCTCAGAGAAGGGATGTCCCTTAGAGCTGGGACAGGTGGGATGAGGGGACTTTTGAACTCCAGAGACCCTACCCCAGTCCCTGGGGCCTGACCCTCACCCACCAGGTGAACCGAATGGGGCATCTCCCTTCAGTTACAGCCGCTGTCTGGAGTTGATGCTGAGCCTTGTGTCCCACCATGGCCCCATGTGCCACCTCATGGTGGCTTCCCACAATGAAGAATCTGTTCGCCAGGCAACTAAGCGGTATGAGGAGGGGGAGTGGGAAACAGGTGCCCACAGGAGGGCCCCCTTCCTTCAGAGGATTGGGCAGAGGGCGATGGGGTTACGGGCCTTAAAAAAGAAAAAAAAAAAATTAAACCCCGGAAGGAAAAAGAAATGGCCCCTAAAAAACGAGGCCGGGGGAAAGCCGAAAAGTCCAAGAAAGGAACAAGAACCAATGGGAAGTCCTTGGGAAAACCAAAAAAGTAATTAACAATGAAGTTCGAAAGAAAAATAATCCTCAATAACCAAAAAAGAATGGGTTCAAGAAACAACCCCCCCGAAAAAAACCCTGGGAAAACCAAAGCCCCTGGCCAAAAAGGCAAAAGAATTGCAAGCAAAACCTCCCAAGGAACTTAAAAAAAAAATAGTTGTTAGTGAACACAATAACTTGATTGTATTTATTTGTATGTGGAGCTGAGGATCGTACCCAGTGCCTCACACATGCTGGGCAAACGCTCAACCACTGAGCTACAGCTACAGCCCCTCATATATTTAAATAATCTCTAGAGTACTTATAATATCTAATAGAACATAAATGCTATGTAAATAGTTGTTACACTGTACTGTTTAGTGAATAATTGCAAGGAAAATGTATGCGTTTGGTGCAGGCACAATTTTAAAATAACATTTTTCATCCTTGGTTGGTTGAATCTGAGGATGCAGAATCCATAGATATAGCAGGCCAACAGTACTTCAATATTGAATTACCAGAGCAACCTATGGGTGTGCAGTGGCTCCAGATTTGCTCCTCCAGATTCAGTCATTATCTTTCATGATGGATGATGTGGTCTTTTCTGTAGCATGTGGGAGTTGGGCATTCCTCTGGATGGACCTGTCTGTTTTGGACAACTTCTGGGCATGTGTGACCACGTCTCCCTAGCACTGGGTATGTGAAGGGTCCATCTCCCATTCATACCTGGAGCTACCTGCTGCATGC